ACTTCCTTTGGAAGCATCCTAACAGAAACTACTGTGTGAAAAGAGCAACTTCGCCCCTTCCTGACTTTTTAATACCAATGCTGGCAGCACAAAAGCCTGATCCATGGTGGTCTTCTGTTTAGGTAGGGAACTAAACAAGCCCTTCCTAGTTAAGAGGATAAAGGTGAAATCTTAACCCCGGGTGGTCTGGCTGCAGGACCACATAGGAACACTCCTTCTATCTGCTTAAGAGGAAAACATACGTAAGATGATGGGTGCCGCCATGGAGTACAGAAATGTTGAGAGTGGTTAGGATGAAGAGGGAAACAGAAAAGGCTCACAACCCCTCCCCATGGAGAATCCTATGACCCCTCCCACACCAGACCCCAATCTGGAAAAGATTTGTTCTGCATTCCTGACCTGGGCTGATTACAGCTCCTTTGGAATCAGCTCTCCCACTGTAAATGAGCAAGGAGGGAAAATAATGTTCTATGATCTGCCCACAACAGGAATATATTCCACTGGCTAATAAAGCTAACTTCTGTCGAGGGCTGCCAGCTCGTGCAAAACACAGATTGAAATGATGTTCCATGACAGGGGATGGGTTACCCAGCACCCCTAGGTATGAGGATAATCAGAGGAATGAGTGGGTTGGCTCTGTTCTCCTTGAGCCCAAGGGAACAAGCAGCTGCTTTGAGCTTGCCGTTGCTCAGACATCATGCCCCGATGCACCCAGATCCGTGGGTTTGGCAGAAAGCCCCACCCTATCAGTAAAGGCCAAAAGAATGTAGCGCTCCTGCTTGTTAATAATAAATTGGTCTGGCAGGTCGTGCTTTAGAAACCCCTGCTGTGGGGTAAGTAATTGTTAACCCTGTTTCACAGGCCTCCAAGCGCTCCAGGATTTGACAGATGCCCCATCAGGCAAGAGTTAAAAGCAATGTGCTTTATTGACCATGGAAAGCCCATCTTTTAGACACTGTTGTTATTATTTTTCTGAAGTGCCAGCAGTGGGTCTGGTATTATACTGTATAAACAGAGATTTTAGAGCAAAGATAACCTGGCGTGTCAGTGTAGTACAGCAGCAAGGATCCTGCATTTGATTCTAGAAGCTTGAAGCTTTAAAAGACAGGTATGGATCCTTCCAAACATCACAATGCCCACTGTATGCCCTCTGGAGCATTTCTACTAATGATTCAGCCATAGACATCGGCAACAGCAAGGAGCAGAATTTGGAGAAGTTACAGTAGTTTTGAGGTCCCAAACTTTCAGAATTCTCTGATACCCCAACCCAGGAAGTCCAGGTCCTTAATTCCAAAAGCACATTCCTCCTCCTCTAGCAATTGTTTTGCATGCTGGAGTTTCAGTAAAATCAAACTAGATCTGGCAAGCCTGATATCTGCTAGACTGCAGTCTATATGATGTTGTTATTAACAATGATGAAATCTGCTAGTTTCGCTTTCTCTCACATTCTTCTTTTTTAAAACCTCAGGGTCTTTCCATCCCAAATGTGATGAAATCTGTGAACTTTGGTAAATTCTTGGAAAACAAGCTGAAATGGAAAATCTCCCCATTTGCACCAGCTATGTACAATAGATTACCACTATTCCCAGCAGGGCGAGGACCAAGTTTGCACGCCTTCCATATGTTAAAGATATAAAAGCATGGGTGATACTAACCCAGCATTGATAGGATTGAACACAAAAGTTCAAACCCAGATTTATACATTCAGGTCAAGACTTGTAATCTAGAAATGTGATGAGTTCTTGCAAAATTTATTTCTCTCCACAATTTTTCAAGCTCTATCATTCCAAGACTCCCTGCTAAGACATCTCCTCAAATTAGAGAGATTTCCTGTCTTCCTGCAAAAAACTATTTTATTACTTACTTACTTACTAATTTTATGTCCCGTCTTTTGCCTTGTTAGAGGGACTTAAGGCAACTCACACAAATAATTTAAAAAACACAAATATTAAACCAGTTACAAAACATAAATAATATTATTACAAACAAATAATTATTAAAAGACAGAATATTAGAAGACCTATTAAAATCCACTAAAAGGTAAAGGTAAAGGTTCCCCTTGACAATTTTTGTCCAGTCGTGTTCGACTCTAGGGGGCGGTGCTCATCCCCGTTTCCAAGCCATAGAGCCAGCGTTATGTCTGAAGACAATCTTCCGTGGTCACATGGCCAGTGCGACTTAGACACGGAACGCTGTTACCTTCCCACCAAGGTGGTCCCTATTTATCTTCTTGCATTTGCATGCTTTCGAACCGCTAGGTTGGCGGGAGCTGGGACAAGCAACGGGCGCTCACTCCGTTGCGTGGATTCGATCTTACGACTGCTTGGTCTTCTGACCCTGCAGCACAGGCTTCTGCGGTTTAGCCCGCAGCGCCACCACTAAAACCATACGATAAAAGAATATTTCAAAAGTAGAAACGTGAGCTTCCTTAATGTAAAGTATGCCTCCTTATCAGGAGTACATGGAATGAGGAAGCCATGTTACCACTGCTTCTAATCTACACATCAGGATCCTAAATTCTAACACTGAGGCGATAAGTTCCCTGATTCTTCCATCTCCTCTGTATCTAGGACTCAGAGCTTTTTGCTGTACAGCCAAGTCTTCCATTTTCCACTGATACCTTACCAGAAGCCACTCCTCTACTGTGTTTGCACTGGCACTTTATCTCAAGGTTTAGCAAACTTTTCCAGTACGTATACAGAACATACCCGTACCATGGTAGCAACTGTGTAAGACCGGGGAAAGGTTGGGACATATCAGTGTTTCTGATTCAATTTGTGGGACACCTCTATTAAAATGCCAGTACAGTATAAGGCTAAAACTTTAGGGTCAAGGGTGAACTGCACAAGGGCATGGAGAGTTGTACTAAATTAAATTTATTATATTTATTTTGGATACATTTATATCCTGTTCTGTATCTAAAGAACTCTAGTAGATCCGTAGTACCTGGGACTAGAAGTACATTGGCAGGAGAGAGTTTTTATAATATGATTACCATAATTCTACTGGCAATTCATGCTTACCTGAGGGAAAGAGCATAAATCTTGGTGACAAATTGCTGCTCATCAGCATGGTGTCGGTTATGTTCCTGGGCATGTGTCAGATTTAGAGATGGACATGAACTGTAGTTTGGTGATTCGTCCCAGTACCCACAAGGGTAATTTCACAAGGACCACATACTCCCATCTCCTGCCTCCTCTTTATGCTCATCCATTCTCTGGGTGAAGCATGCTTCCTTCCCTGCCTCTTCAGCATGAGTGTCCGCTCACCAGTGCAGTGTGTGTTTCCCTCCTCCACCTCCTCTGATGGCTGCCCACTCAAAGACGGTGGTGCAGGCTTCCCTGCCCTGCCTCCTTCTCTGAGTGGGTGGCTGTTAGAGGAGATTGAGGAGGGAAGCACGTGTGCTATGATTGCTGAGTGGGCAGTCGCGCTGAGGAGGCAGGGAAGGAAGCACCCTTTGCCCTGGGAATGGGCAAATGTGCAGAGGACATAGGAAAGAGGTGTGTGTAGCACTTGCAGAATACCTGTGCAGGCACTGGGCCAAACTGGGCCGAACTGCTGAACACCTACCTCTAGTCAAATTGCATAATCAGATGTATACATACACACATTGGTTTAAAGTTAATTAACAGTCTAAAAGTATTTAATTTTCAGTTCTAAATAGTATATGGTAACGAGGAATAAACAGCTACAAGAGACTGTGAGGAAGAGGAAGGGAAGAGTACATACAAAGAGTACGTACACATATTTTAAATATACTGTATACTGTATTTATATTGCACCTTTCCAGAAATAAAGACATCACCATCTGCTTCAACCACACCTCTCTCTTACTTGTAAAGACATATCGACACACAACTATCCATCATTAGTGCAAAGGTTTCCTAGGACTTTTTGCATTGTTACTTTGATTTTATTAAAAGTTTATGTGACTTGAGAATCGCTTCAGAGAAATAAACAACTGCATGTATAAAGCTCAGCCATATATATTCAGTTTACATTTGTCTACAACATTGATACTGTGGCTACCTTTATCTGTTTGTTCCTTTTAACTCTTTTACATTAAGTCGTACCTTACTGAAAGGATGACATAAATAGGACCTTCCTGTAACTGGCAGGCACAGAGAAGAAAAGATTAAAGACCTCCTTATGTGGCCTCCATGTCCAGTCCACCTATATGGGATCCTAAGTGTCTGCATTTCAGGGTCTAATCCTGTATCTGAGGGGGAAAATGTATTTGTACAGTTTTCTTCTGAGTACAGAATTGCATAATTTCATGTGAAAGAGCCATTCTCTCTATTACGAGTCATGCAATTGACTACTTTGGCCCTCAGCTTTGTGTGCAGATCTTGGAAAAGTTTCAGAAGGAGTAGCCAAGTTATGTGCTAGTTATCAGGCCAAAACAAAAGAAAAACAAAGAAGACAAAAACGTGGCACCTTAAAAGACTGTTATACTTTAATGTGAGCTTCTGTGGTCAAGTCCATTTCCCCACACCTTGGAAAAAGTACTTTTCTGCACAGTTCTCAGAAGCTTCCAGGCAGGATGACTAGAGTCCAGAAAAGTAAGTTTTCAAATGCTCAACTGAAACCTAAGATCTAAATTAAACGTTTTCTGAAATGTAACTGCCACTTCTTTTACAGGGAGCAGCACAGATGAAGGGGGTGGAATTGGGCCCAATACAAACCAAAGGGATATTTAGCAACAGCCAATGGAAGAGGGTGCCAAAAGCTGAGCATGCCAACTTTTTCCTGCCATTTGAGGAAGGAAAGATTCAAAATCCCACGCTATTTTTCGTCAGCCGGAAAGTTCCATTTGGAAAAACGGAGCGGTGGATAAAAGGGGGATTCAAGAATCCCTAAATTTCCTTCTGCAGGACTTTTGAACTCGGCTCCGCCTTCTCTGGGCTTCGTGGTCTGACGGGGCTCCGGGATTGGCTGGCTGGGGTGTCGAAACTCCGCCCACTCCTGTCTTTATTCCCTCTTGTCCCGCTTAGGTTTTGCGCCCGCGGGGAAGGGACGGCAACAGCAAAAAGGAGGGGTTTTACAACGTCGTTGGTATCCCCACCCCGCGAGTTGTGGGGGCAAAAAAAGAGACGGGGGGTCCTTGGATCAAAACGTACAGTCTCCTTTTGGTGCAACTCTGATCGAGGTGGGGAGAAATGCAGCCTTCTTAGAAAGCCGAAGAGGGGGATTTCCCCCCACCACCACTTTGCCCAAGAAAAGGTAAAGTTCAGAAGTTTTTATTTTTGTACGCGTGTCAAGTTATGTGGAGGTGAAAGATGTCAAGAGAAGAGCCGAGTCTTTGTAGAGAGATGGTCAGCAAGCGTGATGAAGGGAGTGAAGGAAGTAAAGCGGTAATAATAAGTATCATTAAAAAGAAATATTGTAATAATTTAAAAAAATGTGGAAACAGAAAGAAAGGGGATGGGAGAGGGAAACTTGTTCAAGAAGTGGATGTTAAAGGAGAAGAGAGGAGATGGAAGGGACTGGGATCTAGTGGGGAGAAACAGGGTCCAAGTGTGGAAGAAGGAGAGGGGAGATAAAGGGATCTGTGAAGAGTCAGGGAAAAAATCAAGGAGGAAGGGAGGAGGAGAAAAAAAGAGGCAGGGTAGTAGGATGGAGAAAGGACTGCTATGGAGGAGTCCATGTGCAAGAAGAAAGAGGTAAAAGGGAGCCGGAATGTAGGAGAGAAACCAAAGTGGTTAATATCTTGAACTTTCAGAGGCAGCTAACAAGAATTACTTCCACAAGAGGAAAAAGTGTGTTTATGGGGAACTAAAAAGTATTTTGACATGCAAACTCCATATAGCTATGGGAATGACTCATTTTTCCCCAAGCCTTGCAAAGCTGACCTTCTAATCATGAGTGAAGGCACAGTTGCAATGTAGGGGAGGTCTGAGGGGGTCCTATCCAGCCTGTTTTTCGATCCTGTACACACAAAGACTGTCCCCATCAAAGGGTCTTCTCGTCTTTTGCTCAGTCTGATTCCATATGGTTCAACTTTAATTGCTATGCCGCTTGTTAAAGTAAGCAAGGAAGAAGGAAGGGCTTGTAGCACTGAATCTCCAGATTTCCACTGGAAACTGTATTGCTTGCTTTGCTACAGGAAGCTGAATGACTCTGAGTTAACACAACTTGAAGATGATTTTGAGTAAACAAGGGTTTTTTTTGGGGGGGGTTGGACTACAACTCCCAGAATCCCAGTGGCTGTAATGTTCTGGGAGTTGCAGTTTTTTTAAAAAGACTTCTTACTTTTGCTGTCAACATTGTTGGCAATCTGGATTGTGTCCTAATGAGTCCAGTCTGAGGAGACATCTGGAGCTTTTGCTTCTGGGTCTTGTTTTAGCTACTCTTTCAACAAGAATAGGCAGCCTCTGATGACTAGTCTTTGGAATTGGGCAAATCAGAATTAAAAGCATTTTGAGCCACCAATAAAATGCATTAAGTTTGATGTAACTACTGTATAGTGGCCTGGATACACAAGACAGGTGTATCTTGAAATAAGGGGTGCACAAGATTTCTATTTAGGAACTGCCAAATTAGAGATAGCTATCATTTTCTGATTTCACCTATTTCTTTGGAGATTCCTTCTTTGAGAGGTTTGGGGTGAAGGAATAGTGGATGCTAAAGAAGGGTTAGAGAAGTAAGATAAATCACACAGAGCTTTCTCCAAATCAATACACTCCAGATATGCTTGGGCTACCAACTCCCGTTAAGTCCAGGGAGCAGGACCTTGCTGATGGTGCAGTATAATGGAAGCTGTAGTCCAGACACTATAGTCAACCTAATCTAGATAGCTGCACTTGGTGATGTGAGAGATATAAAACAATGGCTGCACTCCTATGTACATTTATTTGGGAGTAAACAACGCTGAATTCCATTGGGTTGAGTAAACGTGCTTTAGACTCCACTGCACTTATGATGGATGAATAGGAAGTTGGTTAGACGGGGATCAGAACAAAAGCCATTGTTTTTGTGTTGACCAGATAGTCACGAGCACTTTCCTTAAACAAAGGAATAACTGGACTTGAAGTCAAGTGAGTGGGAAGGATTTTGTTAGTTATGTTGTTGTTCTGAGATATGCACACTTTAGTTCAGGCTCAGCAGTAAAAGCTTAGGCTAGTTGGTGTAGGGAAGACAGGAAAAAGGGAGCAGAGCCAAAGATGGGACATAAGAAGCCTTGGAGCACAGTGTGGCTGTGGAAGAATCTGGAACCTTCTGGCTGCAAGGAAAGGGCAGCGCTTGCTGCTACAATTAGGCGCAGCAAATATTAAGGGAATTACAATGTTGACTTCAAGCTAATTGCATTTTTAGGGACTGGAACACAGGGAAAAAGAAGAGTCGTATCTGGGGTCTGGACCAGTCGTGAAAGCAGTCCAGGCCTCTGCTGGGATGTCTGTTAGTGTCCTTTCCCTTCTGCTTTCTAATTTCTTGTGACTTCCATGATGATGCACGTGAGCCCATTGCTGACCCAGAACATTTTGCTGCCTGAAGCAAAGAACAAGACAGCATCCCTGCTGTATTTCCCATACAGAAGCCAGTTTAGTTTTTCTTCCGCCCTGCTGAGCTTCCTAGAGATCAGAAAATTACTTTTTTTACTGTAGCCCCCATGATTTGAGAACTGTGGTTCCAAGAAGTAACTTTTATAAACCCTGTTCCCCAGCCACACCTAAGGCATCACAGAATATGGTAGTTAAATGGAGCCCAGGACAGGTTGTATGGCAATTACAGCCCCATCCCAGAAAGAGAGGATTTCAGGAAAAATGGCTGGAGGCAAGGGGGATATATAGGGATGGGAGGTACCTCCCCTGTAATTTTGGGGGGATACTTCTCTAGCTTGGTCACAAGCCACCCTCACTAGAAGGATACAATTCCTGCCCCACCCCCATATCTTCTGTGTGAAATGGCCAGTGCTATACAGTATAAGCAGTCTGAGGCTCAATAAAAAAAGAGAGCTTTGTTAGAAGGGAAGTAAAAGGAAAGTGATGAGAGAGACAGTAGTTAACATGTTTTGTTTACAGAGTGCCTAAAAGGCACTGTGCATTAACAAAAAAAGAAAAACACAGAGAGAAAAACAGATTAGTACAGTGGACCCTTGACTTACAGGTGGCTTGACTTACAGACTTTTTGAGTTACAGACTTCTCTGGCCGCAAAATTTAGGTTTGACTTGCAGACTGAGATTTGACTTACAGACCAGAAAAAAAACAAAATGGAACAAAAACGGCCTGTTACGGGATTAATCGGTTTTCAATGTATAGGGATGGGAGGTACCTCCCCTGTAATTTTGGGGGGATACTTCTCTAGCTTGGTCACAAGCCACCCTCACTAGAAGGATACAATTCCTGCCCCACCCCCATATCTTCTGTGTGAAATGGCCAGTGCTATACAGTATAAGCAGTCTGAGGCTCAATAAAAAAAGAGAGCTTTGTTAGAAGGGAAGTAAAAGGAAAGTGATGAGAGAGACAGTAGTTAACATGTTTTGTTTACAGAGTGCCTAAAAGGCACTGGGCATTAACAAAAAAAGAAAAACAGAGAGAAAAACAGATTAGTAGCTTCAACTTTTCCTTGAATTTGAAGTTGTAGAGATATCGCACAACCCATGTAGGTCAGACTGCAAGACATAACACTTTTGTTCTCTCTCAGCATCTTGCAAAAACTGCCATATTGGTCTTAAAAAGTTATAAAATGCAGTGGATGCAAAAACAGGTAGATTTAGGTATGCCCATTGTTTGCCTTGAAAAGGGCATAAAGCCAAAGCTAAAGCAGCTTGACTGAATGCAAGAGATAACATGGATTTAGTAATGGTGTGTGGAAAGGGGGGAAAGAGTAGATTCATATTTTCTTAGTCCTCTCCCGTTAGGGCAGGGCAAGCCACAAATGTTACTTCTTCACACACCTGTGAAGTAACGTTTCTGGTAAAATTTCTCTTCCTCCATCACTTCCTGCTCTTCTAAGGCACTGTGACCTATTAAAGACTCTAGTGAGGGGTGGGCAACCTGCATCTTCCCAAACATTGCATGCAGCCCTTCGTCTAATTTAAAAAAAAAAACTCTGCATGAGATCTGACCTTTAGCAAGAGTGGTTTGTCTCTGCCGCAGCAGCCAGCTTGGCAGAAAAGAGAAGGGAGTGTGTGTCTGTGTCTGTGCTGTAAGTAAAGAGTCTTTACTGATTTGAATATTGACCCTTCCTGCTACTGCCAGCATGAAGCCCCTAGCAGATTCTCATCTCTGCTCTGGACAGTGTCTTTCTGTGCTTTCTGGAAACAGGCAGAGTAAAAGCAAAAGGAATGTACAATTTACAGTTGTCAGCTTTATTTTTACTAGCATCCTATACATTTAATAGCTTGCTATCTGACAAGCAGAAATTTCAGGCTACCGACTATGAAGGTTCTGAGATCAGAGGTTTGGAAAGTTGAATTCCTATTTGTTGTATAGTGGTTAAACTACAAGTGATATGTCAGAAGGAAGATGACAAGATTACTAATAAGCCTAATATATTTTCATCATATTAGTTTTACACTATTGCAGTTATATTGGCTAAAATCCTGTTGCTTAACATAGTAAATTGTACTAGGGTAGGCCTATTGAATCAATAGAGATTTGGTAGATCAGTTCCTCTATAAGTTCTATTAATTCAAATGGGACTAATCTAATTGTGATTTATTTTAGCATAGTAAGTCACAGGTAGAGTGGGCTCATTTATATCAACTGATAAAATCCCCATTGATTCTAGTGTCATTTACTATACTAAGCAACAGGATTTTGGCATTGTCTGGTTACTGGCTCATGAATCTTAACTTTTTGAGATGTGTTCTGAACTAATATTTAACTATCCCAATGTTGCGAAGATTCACTTCTTGGTCTGTTTTATCCCCGGGCTTTCTTACATGCCTCATAAATAAGAAGAAACATCAGAACTAGCCTTATTGGTTAGTGCTTGTGACGCAACACAACTCACTCTTCTTACAACATATATTTAATATATACGAGGGGTTTGTAATCCTCTGTTTCTATCACTGTCCTCTCTGATTGAAACCTAAGGAGGACAAGAGGGAATAAAGACGGGTGGGCGGAGTTTCGACACCCCAGCTAGCCAATCCCGGAGCCGTCAGACCTCGTATATTTACTTCTCACAGTGGAAGAAATGCTCCTGTTTTTTTTTTTAACAGAATAGCAACATTTAGCAAATAAGTTGGAATGTAAAACAATAACATTCTCTTGCCCCTTGTAGCTTGCGAGGTGAAGATGTTCTTCAGGGCCTTCGTGCTCCCTGTTCTGACTGCTGAATTATAAAGTCTCCCAAAATATTTCAGCTAAAGGCAAAACAAACAATGCTTTCAGCAGGCCATAGCTTAGTGTGGGGGACATGTTCATATAAGGCTTCAAGTTCTGTCTCCAGTAGCAGAGCCAGAAAAGATCCTTGCCAGAAGCTTTGGTCACTCCTACCGCTAGGCAGATGGAGGGAAGCATGCCTGAAGAAAACAAGACTTACCTGGCTTTTGCTTCTGAGCCCCTGCACATCAGGCTGTTCCTCCTTGTTAGAGGAAAGAATAGTGTGTAAATGTAAATACCATATGGCCTCTCCGATTTCCCAAACTGGTCAGCTGCCATCAAGTGTGGTGGAAGCTGCTATATCTAAATTTCCAAGATTCAACTAACAGTTTAAGACAACCTTTATGTACAGAAGAGGGAAGGATGTGCTATCTTACTCCCGCTGAATGTCCTATATAGGCCCAGATGCTTGCCTCATATACAGTAATAGATAGTATTGGGCCAGATGGACTGTAAGGTTGCTTCCTCATGGGCTCGAGGACAGGCTTGCCCCTCTCCTTATATAGGGCAGGGATTGTTGAATGTGGGCCACCAGGTATGTTTTGGACTTACTGCTCTCTCCAGCCCTGAGCAGCATAGTCAGCGCTGAGGAATCACAGGATTTGTGGGCCAGAAACAACTGGAGGGCCGCAGTTGCCAGTCTCTGATGTGGTGAGATTATCACATGTAAAGCCCATGAGGGGGCAGGATTTTGTTAGGGGTTGGGGGGGGGCTTATATGGGATTGCTCTACAGTGACTTTCCCTTTTCCTAAAGCCTGGGTGTCTGCCACTTCTGTGTACAAAACAAGGGCACAGGCTGCTTAAAGAATGGAGGACAAAGGGCAACTGTTCTCCCTCCCCACCTCTGCCACATTCCTGGAAAAAAACAACCAGCCAACATCTGTCATAAATTGCAGTTGGAGGATTTTTGTGGGTTTCTTTTATTTCTTTTAACTTGTCATTTGTCAGCTTTTAACTCTAGTAGATAAGAAGGACCTTGTGGAAGCAAACACAACTTGTAGCCATGGGATTGGGGAAGAGGGGACCTATGTGGCAATAGCACAGAATTCAATAGTTCAAGGCCCATCTTGCTGGGACATTCTATCTAGCCTATCCTAGAGCTCTCCTACCTGGGGGATTCTGGGAGCTGTAGTCCAGAATTACAAATCTGCACACCTCTAGTCCTGGCAGCTACTCTTTCCAAGGAGCTCTACAGATAGAAAACAAACAGAGAGGACAGTGGTAGAAACAGAGGATTACGAGCAAGGAAGGTAAGGGGCATTGGAACAGAGCTTTGAAAGCTTCTTTTTGAACTACAGCTCCCAGAATTCCCCAGCCACCATGCGGCCATGTTCTGCATCACAGCAGGATGGACTGAGAAAAAAAATAGGTATTCTTACAGCTAATTCATTGAAATGAACTTCTGCTTTGAAATCTGGCACCATTTCAAATCTTGCTTTTTGACATGTTCACCATGCAGCAATGGAAGATCACCACATGTGGTAACATATATGATTATATATCAGTTCCTCCATAGAAGCAATATGCATGTAGATAGATTGTGTTTGAAGCAGGCCGTCTTAGGCTCATTCTCCACTTTTCCCAACTTGATGCCCTCCAGATAATTGAGATTACAACATCCATCATCCCTAATTCATGGCTAGGCCTGGCCTGTAGCCCAAGATGCCTGGGAGACATCATGTTGGAAAAAGGCTAACATAGAAGCACCTTATTATAGCCCTGATAATATTTATTTATATATGGTTCATTATTAGAATAGAACAGGTTCTTATTAAGTTCTTACAAGTTCTCACTGGGTCATCTTGGACCAGTCATCTCGACCTGCCTCAAAGGGTGGTTGGGAAGATAATGACGAGGAAAAGGAAAACCTGTTCCTTTCAGGCTGCATTATTGAGGGTGCCTAAAAGGTAAAGGTTCCCCTTGACAATTTCTGTCCAGTCGTGTTCGACTCTAGGGGGCGGTGCTCATCCCCGTTTCCAAGCCATAGAGCTAGCGTTTTGTCTGAAGACAATCTTCCGTGGTCACATGGCCAGTGCGACTTAGACACGGAATGCTGTTACCTTCCCACCGAGGTGGTCCCTATTTATCTACTTGCATTTGCATGCTTTCGAACCGCTAGGTTGGCGGGAGCTGGGACAAAGCGACGGGCGCTTACTCCATCGCGTGGATTCGATCTTACGACTGCTGGTCTTCTGACCCTGCAGCACAGGCTTCTGCGGTTTAGCCCACAGCGCCACCACGTCCCTCTTGAGGGTGCCTATCCGGAGGCAAATAAAGTAAAATAATGCTAGGACCTGGGTATTTTCAGTAATGGCACCATCACTGTGGAATAAACTGCCACCAGAAACTAGACAGGCCCCCTTTCTACAAGATCAGTTAAAAAAAACTATTTAAGGAGGCCTTTGTCAACATCCTTGGCTAATTTTTGAGACCCATACACTATTGCTGTTATTGATTATTTTTATTATATTACTGGATATTTTGTTTTTTAAGTTATGGTTAATGTAATTTGGTTCAGTCAAGCTACCAGGTATCAGTCTTCGGTCACCTTTGTTTTATTATGTTTTAGTTTGTGGTGTCATGTATATCGTTTTTTTAATTATTATTTAGTTTTTGTGTCTTTGCTTAAATTATGTAAACTACCCCTGAGTAGTGTTTCACTAAGTTGACCAGTCAAAACACTCAATAAATAAAATAAAATAATTGTTGAGCAGATTGGGGGAAAGGTAACTAATTGAACAAGTACAGAAAGTAAGGCATTAAAGCAAACCTTCCTGTCATCATAACCCCATTTTACCTGACCTTGGTGTGATATCCTACCTTTTGTCACTAAAGAGGAGCAAGAGAGAGTCATTTGTTGACTGATGCCATTTTGTGTCTGAAAGGGCTTGAATACCTTCCAGATGTCTTGATAAACATTATTGTATCCAGTGTAAATCAGAATTGGAGCCTGAGAAAGTTTCCTTTCTGGAAAGGGGGGTGCAATTCCCAGAATCCAGCAGCCAACACTGGCATGCTGGCTGTCAGATTCTGAGAACTGTAGGCCAGAAATAAACATTTCCAAGCTCTCTAGATCAATGGGTACAGTATTTCCTCCACCACACAGACAACATCCTGCTTCCCTGGACTTGTGGTGTTGCGGTGGCATAAATTTGGGGAAAAGACAACAGGGCAGGTGACTAACTCTCCTTCCATCTTTAAAGATTCCAGTCTCTACAGTTCTCGTGGAAAATCTAGCCTTATTGTATGTTATTAGAATGGGCATGCTGACTGCCTGTGGAATTCTGGGAGTTGTGCTCCAAAAAAGGAAATTTCTCACTCTCTAAACGGAACAGCTTGTAAGGGTCACAACAAACACAAATCCTTCACCCATCCCTGCCACCTAGTGGAGGAACTCAAGAAGGAGCCCCGACTTAAAAAATGTATGATTTCACCCCTAGGATGGTGCAAAAACAAAAAAATCTATTTTTGTGTGTGTTAGTGTTATTTGTCAGCAGCAAACAGTACATTACAGCTGTCTCATTTCTGAAGCTGTCACCTTCAGACAGTCTCTGCTTGGAGGCCTCACCTTTTTTTCTATGTCTGTCTTTTTCCAGCACATCCTTTGGCAGACATCCAGGATCAAGACGTTTGACCTGAGTTTCTTACCCTGGCTGTTGTGACCTGCTGCCCCATCTGTTAGCCAACTCCCACATTCATGGGAGGTAGAATGAGAGAGAGGGCGGGCCAGAGAGAGAGAGAAGCACTGAAGACAGGTTGAACGGATTAACATTAATCCTCAAGATTTGCTCACTTCCAACCAGACAAGAACAGCTACCGGTTTAACTGCAGATTCCTTCAGCACTGCTCTCACAACTCAAAGTCCAAGAAAGGCCTCATCTGTGCCCTTCCCACCTGCATTCCTGGATGGTCCAGACTTTTAAAAAAAAACCACCAAAAACAAGCCAGCTTGGTAGCTTTATGAAATCTGCAAAAAGTGAGCTGTCCAGATGGACCTGAGAGAGGAATGAAAGTTAGATGCCCACTCTCTGCAAGAAATCCAGAAGTTCCCTGGCAGGTTGGTCTTGATTCTTTCAAGAGCAGAGGAGGGAGAAGCAGTAACAGATGTGATGGGGACATCCAAGAAGATGACTGCTTAAGAAGTGTGTGACCCCACTGGAGTGTGACTACACACATCTCTGGGGTGGAGTCCATCTTTTTAAGGGACACACCAAGACATTCCTGAAACTGGGCTTTCCATCAACGTGCTTAGAGATGAGTCTTGGGAAGCTACCAGTGATCGGCTGGGTGTCCAGCTCCCACAGCAAGCGCCGTTTCAAAACAGAACTGACGCCGGACATGATTAGCCCCCCACTGGGAGACTTTCGTCACACCATGCATGTTGGGCGTGGTGGAGATGCTTTTGGGGACACTTCCTTCCTCCGTAACCATGGTGGGGAAGAAGCCAAGCCGAACAACTTCTTTGCTCGGACACTAAGACACGTACGGAGAAGCCCGCTCAGAAACAGGGGAAGTAGGAGCAAGGATGAGGCCTCTCCGTTGCCTCCTGCCATCTCACCCATCATTAAGAACGCTGTGTCTTTGCCTCAGCTTAACGAGGGGAGCTACAGGAAAGATAGTTTGGGAGGTTTTGCCTTCAAGAGCACTCCCAACAGCTTCTCTGACTATGGTAGGTGGTCGTTGGGATAGATGATCTTAGCTAAAAGGCCAGTCTTGCTTTTGCTGTACATCAGTTTTCTAGAATTTGCTGTACATCAGTTTTCTTTCTGAGGTATGCAGCAAAAACATTGACAGATATGCACAAGTGCTTCTTTATTAAATAATCTTGAGATTTCTGTATATTTAGGACCTACAGGTGCCATGAATATGTAAGCAGAGCACTCTTAAGACTGACTCTTCTGTAATGCTGCTTCCTCCACTGCATTCATTCTGAGGCTTAGTGCTCCACTAATTCCCTTTTCTTGATGTTATGTTGTTTTATTTACTGCACAGCCAGGCAACCTGTTTTACTAACAAAATAGTAGTTTGAGATGGGGAAGATTAGCTCTTGAGTCATTGCAGTATAAACCAGGGGTGGTTAGAAGTCCAGCCAGAATCGACTGCTAGATCCCTTGATAATCTGCAGTAGGTTGGCAAAAATTTCTGCCTCCCAGTTATTTAATCATACAGTAGCAGCAACAGAGTGATTCCTCTCACAGTCTGCATTATACTTATGAAAAGGAAAACATGCAGGATAACCAGGAGTGCATTTTTGTATAGGATTGTGAGCTCTGCTTAATTCTGGGACTCCAATTTCTGGGCTCACAATTCTTTAATTGTGACTTGCTCCACATTTTGGTAGATGGATCATGGGGTTTTACTCAAAAAATTAGATTCTGTAATCCTGGCTCTGCAAGCAATGTGGTACAGTATAAACAATGTCAAATGACAGCCTTGCAAAGATTCCAGGCACATCACAGGCAGTATATATCTTTATGAGTGTTTAGGTCTAAAAGGCTTATAAGAGATTAAAATAAAAGACTGCAGAGAATGACAATTTCTCCTTGGGATGTAGCTCACCCTCCGAAATAGGGCTCAAAAAAGTCCCTCCCTCTCTTTTTTTGGACCACATCTCCCAGAGTTCTCCAGTAGGCTGGAGGATGATGGGTGCTGTAGTCTAAAAAAGGAACATTTCCTGGCTCTGCTGAGATGTCCTTTATTTGACTGCCAGCCAAGTGGTAGTGAAGCACACCCAAGACAAACTATTCAGGTCTCATCTGTGTCTTAGTGATAGCACTTCAAGGACCTTTTCTGTAGTTTACAAGCAGGTGATATTTCTGCCAAGGTATAGAATACGAGAGGGCACTTGGCGTTCTCTTGCTACTCTTAAGAGGAAGCCAGAAATAGCTACAGCATCCATTTTCTGGTCCACCCCCTTCTCCATAGAGGGTTTGAAAAACTCGTAATGGGAAGTATGCTTTAAAAAGGTAAAGAAAAAGATGGGAGAGGATACATCTCCCATTCCATAAATACTGTTAGAGAGCACAACCAGATAAAAGAAAGTGCTAGAAAGAGACTAAATATTTCAAGAATGACTAATAGCACTAGAGACATCTTCTTTTCCACAGAATAAACACTGGGTTGGTGCAGTATATAGGGCCTCACATGGTGATACTAACCATTTCCCTCTCACCACATAGTATACCCCTGCAATCCTAACCTAGTTTCTTACGACTTTTCACTGTTACCTATTGCTTCGCTGTTTGCTTTAGATCAAAGCGCTACCATTTGTAGTTCTTCACCAGGATTTTAAAAACCTTGTTCCTGGCAAATAAGCAAGATAAGCTTTGCAAGAGGTAGATAAGAAAAAACAGGATGGAAAAGCAAAAGGAGCAAGGGAGTAACAAGAGCAGCTTTTCAGAAGTCACAAGCAGTTCTTTAAAATATTAAACAAGTGCTTGGCAAATTAAAAAAAAGAATATATTTACATTATACCAATATACTCTATCCCACATAGAATTCTTTATGTGTTAACAGCAAATATGCATAGTGGGGAAGGCAGAAATTTTGCAGGTGTTTTCATTCCAGTCCCTCTCCATGTTCACCATAACTTGTCAATATATGCACAAACTGTTTGTTTTGCAATTAGAGCCCAGGAAGGACAGGGTCCCCAGCTAACTGCAATTCTAAGATTATTATTATATATAAGAACATGTACAATGGTACCTCGACTTACGAACGTCTCCACTTGCGAACGTTTCAAGTTACGAACGGCTCCTTTCGCAAAATGTTGCTTCGACTTGCGAATGGAGCCTTGACTTACAAATGAGAAAAACCTTTCCTGCCCTTTTTTTGACCTAAATTCATCATAGGTCAAAAGAAGAAAAAAATTAAAAAATTCTTCCCTTAGTGGCAGACTACAAATTAACCAATTTTGAACTAGTTCCTATGGGAACTAATGCCTCTACTTACGAACAGCGCCTCGACATATGAACAAAAAACAGCCTGAATGGATTAAATGGTTTTAAATGCATTCCTATAACTTACGAATGCCGTTCCAATACAGATTAAGTTCATAAGTCGAGGTACCACTGTACACAGTTTGTGTGCATACAATCTCTTTAATGTTAGGTTGAAAGTAAGTGACATTGCTGGAACCAGTTGTATTGGCTCTTGCCTTTCCATTGGACTATTTTAGCAATGTGGAGAGGGGGGATCTGCTGCTTGGGTAATAGCCTATCCTTCATATTACCTTACCCGGGCTTCATGCTCTGGAGAAGACACTCCTTGATTCAGAGCATGTTACCATAGTCTCTTGAGACTGAAGGATGCCTATGTAAGTGGTGAAAGCAAGAGCAGTGAACATTTGAGCCTGGTCCACCTCCCATATGGTAAATATTATTAAGATAGCTTGGAAATGGTTGTTGTGGGTTTTTCGGGCTCTTTGGCCATGTTCTGAATGTTCTGAAAGTAAGTGGTGAAAGCAAGAGCAGTGAACATTTGAGCCTGGTCCACCTCCCATATGGTAAATATTATTAAGATAGCTTGGAAATGGTTGTTGTGGGTTTTTCGTGGAAAAGTTGCTTTTTTTGAAGTAGTGCCCCCAGGGTCACTGAACCATTATGAGCACCATGGGATTTTGGGAGTTGTAAAAAAAAAAAAAAACACTTCCAAGCTCTGCTTGGGGGATTAAAGTGTTTGCATTACAATGTATGGATCTGTAAAGAACTAGGATAATATATGGCTGATATCTTGCTTGTTACTAATTCAGTGCAAGAAGAGGGACTCTGTGGTCCTTCAGATACTCTTGGACTACAGGTCCCAGAATTCCTCACCATTGATAGTTCTGGCAAGGGTTGATGGGAATTGCAGTCCAACAATATCCAGAAGGGCATGCATGTTCCACGCCTAGTTTGCTCTGGGGACTGTTGAAAGTTAAAAGTGGAATACATACAGTATGTCTAAATTAAATGACTGATTGGTCAGATTCAGACTTAAGGCATCACACCTCAGTTAGAAGGTTGAACATCATCCTGTTTCAAGGGAAACATTCTAAGCATAGCTGTTTGGATAGCTCAGTAATTTAGGTACTGTACCTGGCTGTGGAGCTAGAGGTTGGGATTTCAGTTGCTCAGTGTGCATCTCGGAAGAGCCAGCCTTCTTAGTTACTGACAGTGCTGGGTTGGGGCTACTCATTTGGCAAAACCGGAATTGCTCCTGAGGCAAGAACAGTGTCATTGTCCAGCCAGTATCTTGGAGGCATTCTGGCCACTTTGGCACAGTCCAACAGGCCACATTGCAGCCAGGGTGGGAGATGCTGCAGTGGCTGTTTTTTTCCTGCATGGCAAGCGGGCAAGACTGCTCTGACCCTAGTGCTACAAGTGGCAGCAAGAGTCCTCCCAGTGATGGCCACTCTGCAGGCCAGGGACTGCTCTATGTCCTGCTTCAATTGCAGGGATTTACATTAAGCGGGACGTGTGGAAAAATGTAATGCAGGTTACCTGAAACATGTACAGTGGACCCTTGACTTACAGACAACTTGACTTACAGACTTTTTGAGTTACAGACTTCTCTGGCCACAAAATTTAGGTTTGACTTGCAGCCTGCGTAATGCAGGTTACCTGAAACATGTAGTTCCTGCCCTTCTCCAAAAATATCTGCCTTTCCCCCTGCAGGCCATCCCTGCTTGTTAGGATTATACGGATTAAGTTCTCAAGTCAAGACCCCACTATAGTTCCTGCCCTTCTCCTTTACTGCAAGCAAAAATATCTGCCTTTCACCCTGCAGGCCATCCCTGCTTGTTAGGATTGGACTGTATGCCCGTAAATTTATTTCCTAGTTTGTCTTGATAGATACACATGCACACAAATTAATAATTTGGGAGCCGACTTCCCAGAAATATTAGAAGTGCCTGCCTGTTTGTTTTGAGCTGGGATGATTGCCTTAGTCACCCAATGCCAAACAAACAGCTGTTTGGAGAGAGAGAGGACTGTGTGTATTGAGGAAGGAATTTTTAGCGTATTTTTTTTTTAGCAGAAAGGAAAAGAGCAATCGGGGGTGGGCGTAATGCCAGGGAGAACATGATGATCCTGGAGGCCCTGAAGCAAGGAGGGAATAGAGTATACTGTGGGCCAGACAAGGATGAATGCTTAGGGTTAAATATGTGTATTGGTCCAATATATTGCTTAAAACCCTGAACAGAACTTGGAAGAGTGATTTTTTTTTAAAAAAAACACCTCAGAATTCCTGGGGCAAGATGACATTTGGGAGATTCTGGAAGCTGTGGTCATAAGCAATACCTTTCTCAAGCTCTGCTGCTAAATTGGAAGACCTCAGTCTGTCCTTCCCACTAACCACAAAAACCAGTGAGTCCAGGCTGGGGCCAGTCTAAGAAATTGGGCCGCCTGAGGCAGAAGCGGCACTCCCCCTCGCCTCTATGTACAGAAACGGAGTGGATTGGCAGTGGAATTTTCCTTCAACACTGGCAACACAGAACAGAGACCTCGGCTATCCCTGAGGGCGGTAGGGTCGTGTAGGGGGTGCAAGAGGGAAGTTAACCACTGCTGCCGCATAGCCTCTGTCACTAAGGGTAGTTGCCTCACTCTGTCTAATGTACTGGTTTGGGTCTGTGCTCAGATGTTTGGGTAGCATTCTGGCTTCCCTTCCTTCAACACACAGGCGGCTTCCTTC